TTTAATTTTAGTAGTCTTTAGACTTAAAAAATCAATCTTCGAACACTGATCGAATAAAATTCCCAGTACACACGGAAATTAAACTAAAAACTTTGACACTATACTATATCCAAATTAATTCTTTATTAAAAAATACTTGTCTATTTTAGTCTTGAAAAAAAATGACGATAATATCAAAGAAAGAAAATAAAAAAAGACAAGATGATAAGTAAGGTGAACAAGGAGAAACATCTTATTGATCAACGACCTAGCTTTAATAATTTAGAGGTAGATAATAAGTCAAGATAGCAGATACTCTCCATTTTTTTTTATTTCCTTCCATTATTAAGATTTTATAGTAAATGAAAGAGAGATAATTCACACATAATATATTAAGAATATACGTATTATTTGTATTTATTAGAATTAGAGGTTGGGTGAAGTGTATGGAATGTAACCAATCCAGCGCAACTGGGTGAGTCACATACAACGCCAAAGGACATGGATACTACCATTGATGGAATTAATTGGAACCACAATTACCATTAGTCCTCTAATCCTTTCCCCATCGATTGGAATCCCTGTTATCATGTCTTTTACTCTTTCTTTCCTTTCTGGTCACAATCATACGTTAAACATAAAGATGGGGAAAATATCCATGTCGTGTCACTCCATCAATGATGGATTTAATTTGAATAAAGTTTCAAAAGCAGAGCCGACCCCATATATTTTAACGTTTAAAACGAGTTTTTAAGTTGAGTCTTCTAAAAAAAAAATGAGAGAATGACAAAAAAATTAATAATTACGCATAAAAAAATAAATTTTTAACAAAAAAATTACAATACGGATCCAATCCTAGTCCTTACAATATTAAACCGTCTTATTTGTTTATTTATCTTTTACAATCATAAATCACAATAAGAAGGAGACTTTTTATTCAATTAATTTCAAACATTTATTTTCTTTTGTCTCAAAGAACTGTTATTTAAATAAAGATATTTTAAAGGGAAATGTTAATATACTCCCACCTATTTTTTAGTGGGAGTGTGTTAGCAATCTACACCAAAATTTTAGGACAAAAAAACCACTCATTTCTTTTGATTTGGTTAATTCGTACAAAAGATATTATAGTAATTTAATTTAATTTAAAATGAAAATAAAATATTTTCTCTCTCTTATTAATTTCATTCTCCAATTCATTTATTTTTTCTATTAATTAATTTTTATTAGTTCAGAGAGAGGGGCAGATGAGAGAGAAATGAGTTAAAAAATAAATTTAACAGGAGAAAGATAAATAAGTTAGAGAAAGAATTTAATAGGAAAAAGAAATGAGTTGGAGAAGAAATTTAATAAGAGAGAGAAATAACTTGGAGAATGAAGTTAATAAGAGGGAGAAAATATTTTATTTTTATTTAAAATTAAATTAAATTACTATAATATCCTTTATACAAATTAACCAAATCAAAAGAAATGAATAGTTTTTTTGTCTAAAATTTTGGTGTAGGCGGTTAACATACTCCCACTAAAAAATAGGTGGGATTATATTAGTATTCTCCTATTTTAAAATATATAATTAATACAACTAGGAATTAGGAGAGTCTTATATAAAGAGACAAACAAAAAAGTGAAAAAAATCTTATATATAGAAACAACACGAAGGTAGTATTAACTAACAATTAGGAGAGTCTTATATATAGTATTTCCAATTTAAATATAAAATGACCTTTAAGGAAATATTTAACAACAAGTATCAACTACAACACAAGTTTTAACAAATCACAAACTCCCCTTACCTCTAGTCAATCATCCAACAAGAGAAAAAGACAATGAAAACTCTACACAACTGCGACTCAAAAAGCCCTACTCTAAGAAGCTCAACTACCTTATAGGCAACTTAACTCTTAGAGTTTGTTGACCCTCAAAACTCTAAAACAACAACCATAAACAATAAAGCAACAATTAAATCACATATCACACATAATTAAATTAAAACACCTAAAAATACAATGTTACAATAACCTCCATTCTTTATTGCATTGTTGATTTTTTAAGTATAATTTTGCTTCTATTTATTTATTATTTTCAGAGTTCAAGACTACATTAATTAAATTTTTTTTTTTGTCAATTATACTATTTCTTGCATAACTTTTAATTAAATTACATATTAACAATACTTTAATTGCATTTCTTAGTTTGTGCATAATAATCTTAAACAAATATTAAAAAAGATTGAAGGAGGTATTTTTGAAGTTCAAGTTAACATTAATTTTTTTTTTGCTATTTATATCTCTATTTCTGACATAACTTTTGATTAATTTACATATTAACAACTCTTGAATTGAATTTCTTAGTTTGTGCATAATAATCTTAAACAAATATTAAAAAAGATTGGAAGGGGATATTTTTGAAGTCCAAGTTAACATTTTTTTTTTGCTATTTATATTTTTATTTCTCACATAACTTTTAATTAATTTACTTATTTACAACTAATTTATTTATTAACATTAGTTCATATGATTGGTATTGACACGTGTCTTTTAATTAGATTATCTAAAATTTAAATTCTAATTTTGAGTATGAAATAAACTAGATGTGAATATCCACATTGTGTATATTCACATTCTCAACATAGATTTGTGACTGATTTCTACGTGATATTTTGTATGAAAATCATGATTACCAAAAAATTTGCATTTATTGTGAAATATAAATTCAAAATAAAAAAAATCCACAACTACTGTATTTTATATAAAAAAAATTAATATATATTTACTTATTTATGTACCAATACCTTAAATGATAATTAAATAAAACGGATGCAGTACCTAAAAGAGTCATAATGAAATATATTTGAGTCATGTCTCCATTCTTCCATTCTTCGTTCAGTTTATGATAATGGGTAATACGCTATCCCTCACATCGTCTAGCGCTTTTGCGGGCTTATACATATAACGGATACAGTAATTAAATGAGTCTTAATGAATATAATTATATTTTAGGTATTTTTCTCACATCTCATATAGTTCAAACTAAATTATATTTTTTTTTAGTTCTCTATTTATTTTTAAAATTTAATTTAATTTTATTATTTTAAATGGTTCAATTAGCCTATTATTTTTTTTAATAAAATATTTAATATTATCCTTTCATTTAAATAGACACTAATAACATTGAAAGAATAATATTGAACATCTTTTAAAAATCATAAGACTAAATTAAATTATTTAAAAATAATGAGATCAAATTGAATATTTTAAAAATAGAGAGGCTAAATTAAATAAAAATTTATTTTTATCATATAATTCCTTCATTTTGGATTATCTTATTTTTAATTTCAAGTACTCAATTTGTTATCATTCATAATTTTGTTAAAATAAATATAAAAAAAACTTAAATTTATCTAAACAAAAACATGTTAGATAAATTTTTATTCAATTTTGTCTCACTATTTTTAAAATATTTAATTAAGTCATTTAATTTACAAGCAATATTAATTATTACCTTTTTATGTAAATGTCAATTTAGATACAAAGACAATAAAGGATCAAATTAAATTTTTTAAACATAACGGAACTACATTGAATTAAAAAAATTAAAGGAACTAAAAATTAATGTAAGTTTTTATGATATAAGCAGTACAAGAATGGTTTTAGAAATCAATTTTTTTTTATATTTTTTTATTTCTTATATAATTTAATTTCATATTTATTTATAATTTAAATTTTAATATTTTTAAATAAATTATTATAATTTATATGTTATATATATATAGTACCGTCCCGGTCAGAATCCGATCTGACTCCTAAATAGGTATTTTTTCAATTCCATGGCTAGTTGAGCCCCTATGCCTTACAGGCTCGGGGTTGGAAGGCAATTGTATCTTCCTGGTCAGAATTCGATTTGACCCCTCTACATGGGTGCACTCGGTCAGAATCTGACCTGTCTGCTCTACAGGGGTAACTCGGCCAAAATCCGATCTGACCCTCCCACATAGACACTGATCCGATATTAGGGATAAAATCCCATCTTTAATGACAAAATATTTTCCAAATATTAACGGCTATGAAAATCTCTACGCTCACGGGGCCCATGGGACCCATGAACAAGAAAGTATAAGACCTAAAATCCTAGAGTTAAGTAGATAGATTACACTCTTGAATGCTCTGGCTTGGGAGGTTTGACCTAGGAGAAAAATCTTAAACGCCCCCTTGACCAGAATATATATATATATAATTTATTATAAATTTCAATTATATAATAAAATTTTAACTTATAAAATCCACATATTAATTTTCTTTAATGCTTTTTATGTTTCAAATTGATTATTGTCAAATTTTTGAGTGTTACACAAAATAAAAAAGAAAGTAATAAATAAACAGAAATTTTTATTACAAAATAATTTTATTTAATTTTATAAAATTAATAAATAGATAAGAGAATTTTATTATTTAGAGTATAAATAAAAAATAATTAATTTTATTTTAAAAATTTAAAATAAAAATATTTTAGAACAAATTTTTCACCAGTTAAAACTACAATAACTCTAATTTCCCATCTTAACTTTAGTAGTGACTTTATACAATTATTTTAAGACGAAGGAAGTATTCTCCCACATTTCATCTAAAAAGTTTCTTTCCATTTCAAATTAATTGCAGTGTTAACCTTTAAAAAAATTATTGAAATAATTTATGTTCTCACTTTTAGTAGTAAAATATTAATAATTACTTTTAAGTTGCCATTCCATAAACCATTCCACTACTAAAATTAAAAGAATATATTTGTAAAAAAAATGGAATTATATAAAAATTACACATTATTTTGAATTTGTATAAAAATAAAAAAACATAGAAAGCACGAAAGATGTGTGAGAAGTGAGAAAACGCATAGAAGGAAGAAAATTGAAAATCGTTGGTGGAAAGGAAAACACGGCACCGCAGGTGAAGCTAGAAAGAAAAAAAAAAAGAAAAAAAGAAAGAAAAAAAAGCAGATCTAGTCTTAGTGAGTAGTGAGGAATTCACCAACTCCCCCACCCCAGCCCTTATTTATAGGTACACCCCCTCCTTCAACTATCCACACTCTCTCACTCTCTGATTCATTCTCATACTCACTCGGCGCTTGAAACCATGGCTCTGTTGGTAGAGAAAACGACGAGCGGCCGCGAGTACAAGGTCAAGGACATCTCCCAGGCCGACTTCGGGCGCCTGGAGCTGGATCTGGCCGAGGTCGAGATGCCGGGCCTCATGGCCTGCCGGGCGGAGTTCGGCCCATCGCAGCCCTTCAAGGGGGCCCGCATCACCGGCTCCCTCCACATGACCATCCAGACCGCCGTCCTCATCGAGACCCTCACCGCGCTCGGCGCCGAGGTCCGCTGGTGCTCCTGCAACATCTTCTCCACGCAGGACCACGCCGCCGCCGCCGTCGCCCGCGACAGCGCCGCCGGCTTCGCCTGGCAGGGGGAGACCCTCCAGGAGTACTGGTGGTGCCCCGAGCGCGCCCTCGACTGGGGCCCCGGCGGCGGCCCCGACCTCATCGTGGACGATGCTCCTGCAACATCTTCTCCACGCAGGACCACGCCGCCGCCGCCATCGCCCGCGACAGCGCCGCCGTCTTCGCCTGGAAGGGGGAGACCCTCCAGGAGTACTGGTGGTGCACCGAGCGCGCCCTCGACTGGGGCCCCGGCGGCGGCCCCGACCTCATCGTGGACGACGGCGGCGACGCCACGCTCCTCATCCACGAGCGCGTCAAGGCCGAGGAGATCTACGAGAAAACCAGGCAGTTCCCTGACCTTGCTTCCACCGACAACGCTGAGTTCCAGATCGTCCTCACCATCATCAGGGACGGCTTGAAGACCGACCCCTCCCGCTACCGCAAGATGAAGAACCGTCTCGTCGGGGTTTCCGAGGAAACCACCACCGGCGTTAAGAGGCTCTACCAGATGCAGGCCAATGGCACTCTTCTCTTCCCCGCTATTAACGTCAACGACTCTGTCACCAAGAGCAAGGTTTTTCCTTTTCTCCAGATCTGTTGCTTTTTACTCCCTTAAATCATGCCTCCGCTTCAGATCTCTCTTCTTTTTGAATCTGCTAACTGTTTGACCAATGTCCTCAAAGAATGTTCGACTGCTATTGGATATTTTTAGTACCTGCCTATGCATGTCCAAACGTGATTGTAGCTGAATGTTGGCATTGAGTCCAACGTTGGTTTTTTCAGTTGTTGTTTTTAAAAAATATATATACTGAATTTTACTACTAGCTTGCGTTTAGAATGGAAACAGTCACTTAAAACTAGGTTTTGTGATGAGTTGTTATTGATTTGCTTGTTGAGAGTAAGAAATGGGTCACTGTTGCTGGTGGATCTAGTTGATTATTATTGGATTTTGCTTCTTTTGTGTTTTTTTGCATTGGATTAAGAAAACTAATCCTAATATTACTACTCGCTTGCTTTTAGGATGAAAATGTTCACTCAAAGTAGGTTTTGTGATGACTTGGTCGTTGATTTGGTTACCGGGTTTTGTGGATCTAGTTGATTGTAATTGGATTTTGCTTATTTTTTTTGGTGTTTTGGTCGTTTAACCTTTTGATCTGTGGTTTGTGGCAGTTTGACAACTTGTATGGGTGCCGTCACTCTCTCCCTGATGGGTTGATGAGGGCTACGGATGTGATGATTGCCGGGAAGGTGGCTGTTGTGTGTGGTTATGGTGATGTTGGCAAGGGTTGTGCTGCTGCAATGAAGCAGGCTGGTGCTCGTGTCATCGTGACTGAGATTGATCCCATTTGTGCCCTTCAGGCACTCATGGAGGGCCTTCAGGTTTTGACCTTGGAGGATGTTGTGTCTGAGGCTGATATCTTCGTCACCACCACCGGTAACAAGGACATCATCATGGTTGACCACATGAGGAAGATGAAGAACAATGCCATTGTCTGCAACATTGGTCACTTTGACAATGAGATTGACATGCTTGGGCTGGAGAACTACCCTGGTGTGAAGCGCATCACCATCAAGCCCCAGACTGACAGATGGGTCTTCCCTGAGACCAACACCGGCATCATTATCTTGGCCGAGGGTCGTTTGATGAACTTGGGTTGTGCCACTGGACACCCCAGTTTTGTGATGTCATGCTCCTTCACCAACCAGGTCATTGCTCAGCTTGAGTTGTGGAAAGAGAAGGATAGTGGCAAGTATGAGAAGAAGGTTTATGTTTTGCCCAAGCACCTTGATGAGAAGGTGGCTGCACTTCACCTTGGCAAGCTTGGAGCCAAGCTCACCAAGCTTAGCCAATCCCAAGCTGATTACATCAGTGTGCCTGTTGAGGGTCCATACAAGCCTGCTCACTACAGGTACTAAGATTGAGATCAAGATCACCGATGGAGAGTTGGGGGGGGGGGAGGAGAAATGGTTTTATGAAACGGCTTGATTGTTTGATTTTACTTTTTGGGAATTTTGGTGTTAGACATGTGGTAGAAGAAATGTAGTTTTCTGATTTTCGTAGAACTTGTGTTTGAGTCGATGGGAAGGGTAAAGAGCAAGGCAGCCTGTTGGTTTCTTTGAAATGAAACCAATTTGGTTTGAATAAGGCGTGTTTTGTTTGGGGGCTGTGTGCATTTTACTTTGACTATTAAAATTTGTGTTTCTTGTCCACCTTTTCAATATATCAAAGCAAAATAAGAAAAAAGTTTTTTCTTATCCATGCTTCTAGTGTCAAATTTACTTTTTTGTATTTTATTTTGTGCGTGTGCAACATTAAAAAGGTGCTACGAAGGGTATTATCAGGGGAATTAAGTTAAAAAAAATATTAAAAAGGAGCTACTAAGGGTATTGATCAAGGGAATTAAGTAAATTTATTACGTTAACTTATTTTTCTTATGGAAGTTCAATTTTAAGTTTGTTTGTTTTGGAGTTTTAATGCAACACCCATTATAATGAGCCATCTGATTCTGAGTAGATAATTTAAGGGAAATTATGTTCTATTTTGATTGTATTTACGCACATTGGTCGATTATATTGCTAGTTGTCATACTTGCGAACAATATTTGAGTTAGGATTGAATTTTTGTCCGTTAGCCGAACGTTTTCTAGTCAGGATGATTTAAAAATGTTTATTAGTCCCACTGATTTATTTTCGATTTTTTTTATAGACAAGCTCAAATCAATAGTGTTTAGTTTTTTTTATATACTAAACAATTTAAAATATTTTTCCATTAATTATGATTTGCAAAATATGAGTTATTTATCTTAATTCAAGAAATAATAAATAGGGCAAGAGTCTTGTTAGAGATAGTTTTAGAAAAAAATAATCATGGGGAATTACGTAATTGAGTTTTATAAAAAAAAAAATTCAAGACAATAATATTTAAACAAATAGTGTCTTAGTTGAGCTTGGAGATGATTGTAGCTTAAATTAAAAATTAAATGTCTGATTTTTGTAAGGAGAGAAAAGGATGTGTTCATTGTATAAAGTTAGTAATGGATAAAATATTAGAAAATATATAAAAAATAAAACAAACATTATTCTATTCCCTTTTCAAAATCATTATCATCCTCGTATTTTTTTTAATTCTTTGCTTCGAATTCAAACAATTTTTTCATGTCTCTTCATAGCAGATAAAGGATTTTAAAGATGCCCGTGAAAAATGAGTATAAAAGTTCCTCACTCGCGCATCGAAGAATTTGAATATCCTTATGTAACATCTTGGTGGTTGTTGGTAAAGAGTTGTCAAAAATATACGATTAATATATTCTTTGATACAATTTTTATCGTTGACGTTAAACGTAACGTTGTGTTTTAGATGTTGTAATTTAATTATATATATTATATAATTAAATATTACTTGATTGTTTCAAAACTTTGAAAATATAGAGAAGTTGAATAGTCAACTTGTTTATGATGTAGTTGAGTTAGTGTTAGGGTAATTTAGTTTAATAAATTATATATAAAATTTCCCTTAATAGGTGAATCTCGTAAATTTAAGTTTTAAGAAAAATTAAAGAGAAATTAAAAAAAGCTATCTGAGAACAAAATATTTCTTTTCTTTTTTCTAGTAAAAATCTTCCTTTTACCCTTCTTCATAGCTGATTTAAAGTGACTAAATTGAAGATTCAAGATTTGAAATTAAGAATTTGAGTTGGTGAAAGTCGTACAACAATCCATAGTTCTTCCTTTTTTTCCTCTTTATCTTGTCCTTAGAGTTGAGGTACAAGAAGCTTTGTGACTTGATTTTCTATGTTAAATGCTTATTGTTATTGTTGAAATTCGTCACTTGCATAACTAAATTAGTGAAGATTGTGAATTTAAGTGTTGTTAAGAGGTGCTATTAAAAATGGAGTTTCTTGAGTAGATTGGTGAATTTAGTATTTGATAGTTGCATGTTGCATTTTGAGTTGGTTTGGTGTCATTTATAGCGTATATATGTTGTATGTTGTATTGCATGTTGTTTTGGCTAGTTGGATTGCAGGTTTTGAGCCATTTGGTGACTTTGTTGTGTGCAAAATGAGCATCATGCTGAGTGTGCCTTCATTGTGTTGAGCGTGACTCAAGTTAGGGGGCTCTCTGCCTTGATCACACCATGTGTGGGATTGGTAGCATTGGCATTGATCAATTAGGAGCACTTTGACTTAGTCATGCTAGGCGTCAAATGAGTGGTGTCAGGCGTGAGAATTTGAGAATTCTCTGACTTGGTGATGCTGAGCCCTAGAGGTGTGATGCCTAATATGATCAAGTTAGTGGATCACTACTTAAATGACGTTAGACGCACGTTGAGTGGTGTTAGACATGAGTTATATAAAAACTCTACCTAATTGAGGTTGGACATGGGTCTTGTCACGTTAAGCGCAAGAGACTTAGAGGTTATTTGCCTCAATCACATCAAATATAGGAGGATTGACATCGGGTGTGGGCGAGACAAAAACCTTCCTATCTTAATAGAATTGGGCACACTTAGAATGGCATCGGGCGTGATATGTTGAAATGAAGTATGATGTTACAAGTTGTTTACATGTTGAAGTGTGATGAATTGTTTATTTGAATGATAATGTATGATGATGTTTAAAGTTGTCTATGATGAAGTTGATTAAGTTATAAGATGTATGATGTTTTAAGTTGCATGTTGATGGATGATAAAGTTATAAAGTTGTATTGATGCTATAGTTTAGTAAGTTGTTACACTATAGGCATGTGGTGTATGTCTTTGTTAAGATATATAAAAACTAGAGGAGAGTGAAAAATGCTTTAAAAATTAAAATAACCCATTGTGTGAATATAAGTTGTGGTACTCTGCAAACCTAATTGATAACTCTTTAGTAAATAAGTTGACTTCTGAATGTGCAGTTGTTTTAAGTTGTCTTCTCTAGATTTTATGTATAATCCATATGTGGGAAAGGTTGAGACATACGTGTGTAAAATGGTCATCTGAGTAAATTACAAGGTTGGGGGCTTAGTCTGTAACTAAGTATTGGAAGGGCATAAGAGGTTTAGTGTTGCAAACTAATGTTGTGGTAGACTCATACTTAAATTGTTCTATCATAACAGTAGTACTAGATTTCCTAGTTTAAGTAGTGAAACATGATAAATCAAATTAAGTTGTTAAACAAGATCTTTATAGAACTTGAAGTTGTTTATATTTGACTTGGTTGTGGTAGGTCAAATATTGTGGTTTGATAGATTTAACCACTTAAAATGTTTATCTCTATTGTACGAGATCTCTATAGTTGATATGTGTGACGATACATTAATTACTTATTGTTGTCTATGTTGATATGTTGTTAAGTTGAAGTTGTTAAGATGTGTTGTGATGTTGTTTATAAGTTGAAAGTTGATATGTAGAGTTGCATGAGATGTTGATCAAGTTGTTTATGTTGTATTGTTGTAAGTTGATGTTGTATATATATGTTATTTCGGTTTCACAAGCTTATCATTTATTTTTCCTGTGATTGAAACTATAGTGTTATACTTTGTATGAGAGTAAAGCAGGATTAAGAAGTTTGCTTAGATGGTGGATGGTGAGTCATACTAGTGATGACTCTTTTATCAATGCTAGTCTAATATAGTATGATTGATGTAGAGATGCTTGACCGGTGATTAGAGTTATTTTATGTGCAACAATGTAGTTCATGTATATAGTTTATATGTATAAGGTATGCATGTAACCCTTAAGGGGTTGTTTTTTGTTTAAATCTTTATACCTTTTACTTATAATTGTTGCATGGATATCTAAGTGGCTTTTGTATGGTAACCCTAGGTTAGTTGTATGATGTTTAAATATTTTTGTTTTAAATATATTATATTAAGTATATTGGTCTACTAGGTTGTTACAATTTAAAATTGATTTTTAAACTTGATTAACTATACTAAATTCTCAATTACATTTAAGTGAATTGAATTGTGTCAGTCAGTTGGGTTAAATATATTTTAGTTCGCCTATTATAATGAATGAAGTCAAATTATAAATTATATATTTATCTTGATTAATCAAATCTAAAATTAATATTAAAAATAAAAAACAATTATATATTTGATTCAAACATGCATTGACAAAGACAATTAAAATTGCATTAGTGATCAAAATTAAAATTTAAGTTCTTTCAGTATATATATATAAGTATAAAATTTCATATAAAATACTTATAATCGAGTTTTTTTAAAAATAATTTAAGAATATAAAATAGAAAACATATTTCTACACACATTAAATTTAAAAAAAAAAATTAAAGATTCTAAATTACAGCTCTTTATTATCAATTATTTTATCTATAGACATGGTTTATATAATTTTTAAAATTGATAATTAAAACTTAATCTGTGTTCATAGAATTTGATTTTTGTTAGTCAAAACACTAATAAGAATTAATTTTAGAAATATCAAATCAATTCCAATATTTTAAACATACCTTACAACGCATCAATTTACGCAGCCTCCCAAGTCCATTAGTCAAAAGTAAGAGGCATGAAAACAACAACAACAAAAAAAAAACGGAATTACGAAGATGGTAGTAGCAAAGATTGATTAAGTGACTATTGAGATGTTTCCAAAAATTAAGCGATTCATTTGCCAATTCTCTAAATTAGATAAAAGTTTCATGATAAGCTAATGTGAGGTGTAAATAAGCCAGAGAAAAACGTGGATATTTATTAATGTTTGACTATACAATAAAAGACAAAAACAAAAAAACAAAAAAACAAAACAGAAAAGGATGAGAAGTGGATCTAGAAAAGTAAAAGGGTGGTATCGTATCATCATAATTTATATTTATTCTCCAATAGATAATAGGAAGAAAAAATGAGAGTAGGCTATCTATCCTATTACCATTCATACAAGTCCAAGAGGTTGGTGAGTTGTATATGGTTGGTGTGTTAAACATTTTACACAAATCTCAATTCTCTAGTGCCCTAACTGTGGAGTATTAATTAACAAAAAATAAATTTAGGCCAAAGTGATGGTGTTAAGGAATTATTTTATGTGAAGACAGAAAAAATAAAATATGGAATATCTGGTAATTCACTATGGAGAGAAGCACTGACCAAGTTGTTTGAGTCATAGTGTCATACCATATCATATAATACGGCAACTATATTATGCATTAAAATTTGACCATTTTTCTATATCATGTCACGGATAAGAGTTACAAATACTGGATCATCTAATGGTAGGTTTGGTTGGGTAATAAAACTTTAGGATAAACATTATTCTTATGT